AAAAAAAAAAAAGACTTTATTAAACAATTAGTCTCCTCCCCTTACCACCCTGCCACCCTGTAGCACCATTTTGGAGAGTTTCCGCTGGACGTAAACAGCGTATGCTGTTCTGTGTCAGCTGCGTCACACGGATACGCCGTTTTCGTTCAGATCAAATAACAACAACGTAGGACACAGATCTGGTGTGACGCAGCTGACACAGAACAGCATACGTTGTTTACGTCCAGCTGATACTCTCCAAAATGGCCCTACAGGGTGATGCGGAGGAGACGATGTGACGAGAGGGGCGGGGCCGAGAGCCGTGGGAACGGAGCGAGGCCAGTGGAGTAATTGATAATGAGCGACACCTGCACCACTCACCGGTCTCGAGTCTCACGGAGGAGCTCCGGAAGGATACAAAGGAGGAGTGACGACAGTGAAAGACGAGAGAGGACCAGGCCTGGATTTTATTTTGTGTTTTGGTTTTGTTTGTGCGCGACAGTTGTCCGCGAGGGGCTGTCGCGCTGTTTTGTGTTTATTTTATTATTAAAGTTTTGTTTGAAATGTTCGCCGGTTCCCGCCTCCTTCTTCCCGATCTACAAACTACGTTACAGACGAATTGTTGAATGAAGTCGTTTTTTTTAATTTTGCGCGCACAAATTATTCTTGTAGCTTTGTAAAATTACGGTTGAACCCCTGATGTCACATGGATTATTTTACAGATCTCCTTGCTACGTTTCTGGACTTGGGAACATTTCAGTTGTATTGCTGTCTATGGAGGTTCAGACAGCTCTCAGATTCCATCAAAAATATCTTAATTTGTGTTCCGAAGATGAACGATGGTTTTACGGGTTTGAAACGACATGAGGGTGAGTAATTAATGACAGAATTTTAATTTTTGGGTGAACTATCCCTTTAAACTTTTGGCTTGTTTCCCGAGGCCACAGGAGGGCGCAATGAGCAAAATAATGCAGCACATTAAATTGTCAATGCAAGGAAATGACTGTCTATAAAAAAACGTGCATTACGTCTAAATTATCTCATATAAATCAAATATAATTTTGTAAATTGCATAAACAATTGTGAACAAAACAGCATCACGTATTTATGCATTGCTTAATACAAAGAGCCGAATCGCCATTCACACAGATTGCCTTTAAAAACATATGAGACGCAGTGAAAAGGAATAAACCTCCACAAATTCGTGATGTGTTTTCTAAAGGTTTAAACTGGTTTAACTTTGCATGGCTTTCTATACATCTCTTGTGTGAAGCGAGTGCAGCAGTCATATTTGTCTGTCTAGAAAATGCGCTGAATATGCGTTCTGTGTGAATGGCTTGGGTTTGGTTTTAACCTAATCAAGATCTTCTACGCATTGAGCTACTATATTTCTCTAACATTTTGAATGAATAACGCAGCAACTGCGCGTCTCGTGGGCTAGACTAACAAAACGTTAAACTACAACATCACTTACAACATCATCACCGCATCTCATGCGCCACTGATGACGCTCCCTGAAGCACACCTAACATTCGATTTGGACTATTTTAGCATTCAAATGCAAATGTTTATTTTAATTTCGACTAATATTAATTTTTTTTAATTCACAATCTCCTCATCACAGGCAGGCACAGCACTCATGTTCGTGTTCGTGTGTGCTGTCTGTGTCACTCATAGCACGTGTCTATATCGTGCACTATATTGAACATTTTTAATATCGTTATCGAAGGTGTACCGTCGATAAATATCGATACAGTTTTATCGCCCAGGCCTATTAGTTAATATTGAATATTTAATTGTGCATACTTGTTTTATACATTCCGTGTTTTCTACACTTAAGGTCTGAGTCCGAAATTTTTGTATGCGTTTTTTTCTTTTCTTTTCATATTTGTCATCTTTTCCTATCAAAATCGAACCTGGTCCGAATTTTTTTTATGATGGATGAAAGTTTCGGAGGCAGTGTGTAAACGTGATTGACACAATGTGAGGTTGTATTTATTTGTTAATGTGTGAAAATTTCGGACTAGAATTTCGGACTTTATATTTCCTTCATCTATTTCTCACATAATCTTTAAAAACTGACCAATTCAGTCACACTGTTGAATGTAATCTTTAGTAAATCTCAAAATTCATTTTAATACTGCACATTATAATTTTGTGATGCCTAAATTCAATTGTAACATTTAAAATGATAGATTTTTAGACATAACAATTATTTCATTTTATATTTAATTAGACATTAGACATAAAAATTATTATTTACTTATCACTGCTGGCCAGAATTGTAATTTTGTTGCAATCATAATTATTTTATTTCTTTATTTTTTGGATTACAGGCAATCCAAGCTCTGTAATGAGCCCAGCAGGGGCCTCACAATCTGAGGACCAGCTTTACATGGACAAACTGAAGCAGCTGTCAAAATATATCGAGCCGCTGCGCAGAATGATTAACAAAATAGACAAAAATGAAGGTACTGGAGATTTCTTCTCTTTTGATGCTGATTTTTTTTCCCACTTGGATCTTAAAGATCATGGTTTATGTTTGGTCTTTACAGATAGGAAGAAGGATTTGAGCAAAATGAAAAGTTTGCTCAACATTTTGACTGACCCCAACACAAGGTAAGAAACCAGACATGCTGAATATTGTCTCCAGTGTCTGATCTTTGTCTTGTGATTAAGGTTATGTTATTGCTGTCCTCCACTAGATGTCCACTTAAAACACTACAGAAGTGTGAAATAGCATTGGAGAAACTAAAGAATGACATGGCAGTGGTAAGTAACTTTCGTTTCAAGATAGGGAGTCAAAGTTAAGTTCTATTGTTTAACCAATTTCTACAATGACGTCTGACTTTGGTTTGCAGCCGACTCCTCCCCCTCCTCCAGTGCCCTCTACCAAAAAGCAGTACCTGTGCCAGCCGCTGCTGGATGCTGTCTTGGCCAACATCCGCTCCCCGGTTTTCAACCATTCACTTTACCGCACGTTTGCTCCTGCTATGACAGCAATTCATGGACCCCCAATCACGTAAGATCAACAACTGAAAAAATCAGTATTTTCTCTCATTTAAGTCGGTTATCTTCCTTTAAGGGATAGTTCACCCAAAAATGAAAATTCTGTCATTAATTACTCACCCTCATGTCGTTCCAAACCCGTAAGACCTCTGTTCGTCTTCAGAACACAAATTAAGATATTTTTGATGAATTCTGAGAGCTCTCTAACCCTCCCATAGACAGCAATATAACTGAAATGTTCCCAAGTCCAGAGACGTAGCAAGGAGATCTGTAAAATAATCCATGTGACATCAGGGGTTCAACCATAGTTTTACGAAGCTACGAGAATATTTTTTGTGCGCAAAGAAAAAAATAACGACTTTATTCAACAATTCGTCTCCACCCTAGCACTATTTTGGAGAGTATCCGCTGAACGTAAACAACGTATTCTATTCTGTGTCAGCTGCGCCGCGTGGCTCCTTGGACACGAATTGTTGAATAAAGTTGTGTTTTTTTTTTCCTTTGCGCACAAAAAGTATTCTCGTAGCTTCGTAAAACTGGTTGAACCGCTGATGTCACATGGATTATTTTACCGATGTCCTTGCTACGTTTCTGGACCTTGATCTTGGTAATTACATTGCTGTCTATGGGAGGGTCAGAATTTTCATTTTTGGGTGAACTATCCCTTTAATGTAAAACTTTACAAATAACAGGCCTACATTTTAAATAATCAGTGCATTGCTTTTGTGGTATATAATGAACACTACCTTTCAGATGTTTTTGAATGTTTCTTTTATTTGATCAAAAATACAGTAATATTGTGAAATATAATTACAATTTTAAATAACTTCTATTTTGCTATATTTTAAAATATAATTTCTTTGACAAAGCTGAATTTTCACAAGTCATTACTGTAGTCTTCAGTGTCACATGATCCTTCAGAAATGATTCTAATATATAATATATAACAATGCTTGAGAAACATTTCTTATTATCATTAGTGTTGAAAGCAGTGGTGCTTTTTATTATTTTTGTAGAAACAGTGAAACAGTTTTAGAAGGGTTCTTTTGAAGAATAAAAACTTTGAAAGAACTGCATTTAGTTTTTTTTAGTCACTTGATTAAAAAAAAAACGTAATGACTAAAAACTTTCGAATGATAATATCTATTATAAACGTTATATCACAATAGTAGTAATTTTATAATGGAGTTTATATTACATAGCCATGTTATACATATGTATTAAATGCTTTTTTTAATAACCTCATTAAGCTTTTCACAATATATAGTTTTGAGTTTAAAAATGAAAAGCAGTGTATGGTGTATATATACCACCCAGCCTTAGCTCTTAAATGTAAACATTAAAATGCATAATCTTTAATTCCAGGGGTCCCTCAATTCCTTCCCGTAAACGGAAGCTGGATGATGACGAGCGCCAGACCATCCCTAACATACTTCAAGGGGAGGTGGCTCGTCTTCATTCCAAATTCCTGGTCAATCTAGACCCGTCCTTTTGCAGCAACAATGGAACGGTGCATCTCGTATGTAAACTAGGTCAGTTCAGGCCCCGTGCCCACTATATGCGCCCTTTAGATGTAAAAAAAAAAAAATATATATATATTGGGTCTATTCATTCCTGTCATTGTCTTTGTCTAGATGATAAAAATCTTCCCAGTGTTCCCCCTCTTCAGCTGAGCATTCCAGCGGACTACCCCGATCAGAGCCCCCACTGGGAAGATGACGGTCAGCAGTATGGTGAGTCTAAGCCTGATTTGTGCATTAAATGTCAGCATGCTATCTTAGGCTGCCTTTTAAAATGCAAACACTCTTAAGCTCCCAATTTAAATGAAAATCCATAGGCTGTGAAACGCAGTAACTCATCACTTCCTTACCTCCCTCTCTCTGTTCCTCAGAGGCCAACCCCTTCTTGCAGAGTGTGCATAAGAACATGACCTCTAAACTCCTTCAGCTTCCTGACAAGCACTCGGTGACGGCGCTGCTGAACACCTGGGCTCAAAGCGTGAGGCAGGCTTGCCTTTCAGCTGCTTAGAATGTATTCCCATCAGCACTATCAGCCCAGTATAATCCTTGCACCTCTATGGAATGATGGCAATATATTAATACTTAGTCATTTTTTATTTACCTGAATTATAATCTGTTTTGTTTAGTCCCGTACACTAAGGCCTTAACTGTTTGTGCATTGCTTCATTAATAAAGACATTTAAACTGCTGTTTCAGTCTGAAATGTGTGGCACAGAAGTCACGTAACCACATGACTGGTCCTTCAGCGCATAGTCCTCTGTAGACGACGTCTCTGCACAGCCTGAGTCCTCCCGTGTCTGTCTGCAACATTATTGAGGGGCTGTTTGAGGGCAGGGAGGATCGCTTTCTCTGCTTTACTAGCCTGAGACACAGGTCTGTTCAAATAGTAACAGAGCAAAGGTTCATATCTCCAAAACTGAACTGTTTATGTCAGTCAGGTTGGAAACTATATATATATAATATACATGTTATATACAGATATTTACAAGCAATGACTTACAGTCCTTTAGGTAATGTTTGGAGAGAAAGCTGAGGAAATGTGTCTGATTTGTCAGCTCTGCCAAAATATGAAGGTAAGGGTGAAAGGCCATCTGAATATATATTGGAAAACTATATCATATTTGCTCAAACTTTGTGAAGTCACTCTGATCTTTTTACCATAATGTAAGAGATACATTTTGTTTAGATACTTTTTTTTATTGTTTCAAAATATTAAGGAATTACATATATATTGTAACTGTAACCAAACTCCAACCAAAGAACACCCACACTACCCCCGACATAAGAGCCATAAGAAACATTTACACACACATAAAAAAATAAAGGGCCATTATTGTTCTGTGCATTAAGAAAATGACAGTTCAGCATATGTAATTACCAATGAAAAACAAAAAATGTTAAAATGAATCAGAAACACAGTTCACACAGTAGTCAACTGTCATTAAACACTTGGGCATGATCACATTATTTGGTATTACTCAAGAGTCAGTCCATTCTAATCTAAAAAACGTAGGAAGGAGACCAAGATCTTGTAAAATATGTGCATTTTTTGTTTGAGTAAATTAGTCTTTCCATTGTTATACAAGAAGACAATTCTTTAATCCAGAGTGTCCGAGATGGACCATGAATACTTTTCCAGTGAATGGCAATGTAACTGTAACCAAACTCCAACCAAAGAACACCCACACTACCCCCGACATAAGAGCCATAAGAAACATTTACACACACATAAAAAAATAAAGGGCCATTATTGTAAAATGCATTAAGAAAATGACAGTTCAGCATATGTAATTACCAATGAAAAACAAAAAATGTTAAAATGAATCAGAAACACAGTTCACACAGTAGTCAACTGTCATTAAACACTTGGGCATGATCACATTATTTGGTATTACTCAAGAGTCAGTCCATTCTAATCTAAAAAACGTAGGAAGGAGACCAAGATCTTGTAAAATATGTGCATTTTTTGTTTGAGTAAGTTAGTCTTTCCATTGTTATACAAGACAATTCTTTAATCCAGAGTGTCCGAGATGGACCATGAATACTTTTCCAGTGAATGGCAATCAGGCGTTTCGCGTGTAGTAGACACAGGTTTACAAACTTCTGTTCATATGTTTTCAAAGATCAGGCGGGTGGAAGAAGACCAAGAATACAGATTTTAGGGCAAACCGGGATTTCTTTACCTCTAGTTTTAGATATTACACCTACTAATTCTTTCCAGAAGGACGAAGTACTCACATTGCCAAATGCAATGAAATCATGTTCCCTTGTAAGTCAAATGTCCAAAATATTTCGATTAAATTTATTCAACTTTTCCGGTGTTATAGTTCTCATTATCCAATTATACTGGATTAGTTTAAAACGAGTATTGATCGACAATGTTTGCGCTTGAACACAACTTTCTTCCCACTCATTTTCTGTAACCTCCATCTGAAGATCATCAAACCAAGCCAATCTTTTATGATTTGTAGATTCTTTGGAAGCATTAACAAATTTGCTATACAGCGTAGAAATTTTGTATTTAGCATTGGGAACTTTACCATTTCTTCTAAACTGTAGGACATTGATATGAATGAGTCCTAGATCGTATAAAATTACGATTCTGAAGATACTTTAAAAAATGAGACTGAGGAATTTTGTATCTTTTCTTTAAAGTTTCAAAGAGCATCAGTATATTATCTTCATAAAGATCTACAATCTTCTCTAAGCCTTTCTGTAACCACAGCTTAAAGCCCATGTCTGATTTTCCCTGGAACAAATAATGCATTACCCCAAATGGGAGAGAATTGAGATGGTACCGGCGTTTCTCCCAGCTCAGCCTGTGACTCATGCCTTATTAAAACTGGTTTTTACAAATGGGTTAGATGTATTTTGTTTGAGTCTTTTTAAGGAATCAGAATATAAGAGATACATTTTAAAGTATTTATATCTTTTTTTTGTTAAAGTAAATGATTGTACACAATTACATTTATTCATGTTTACAATAAAACTTACAAATCAATCACTGGAAAATATATACTGGTATATATATATATATATATATATTCTTGCAATTTTCTTATTTTCCTTTGATTTTGGGGTGAGATGCAAAGAAAAACAAAATTACCTTTTACCATCAGCAAGATAAGCCTTGGTCAAAATGTAATTCTCTGTAATTATTTTCTTGTTGAATACAATGTCTTTGAGAACAGCTTTCACACGTTGGATCTAAGAGAAGACAAATTAAAATGGATTATGTAATATATTGAAAGGCATAAAGAAATATATGATCTCACCTCCTGGGACTGCAGGCTGTTAGCGTTGTACAGCTGGCGTATGATGACCTCACATTCCTGTAGGGTGGGAGGTCGAGGGGCCTGAGATGGACTACACTGGATCATCAGAGGGTGTAGAGAAGTGATGAACCCTGCTTTGGCTTCTGTTCTGTCAGCTGTGAGGGAATTTGATCTGGTTTCTCTACATTGTAAATGACTGCTGTAGGTATAAGAAGAATGTTATTAATTTATTATTAAATTAAAAATAAATATATATATATTAGGTTAAATTACATTAATAAAAAAAGTTATATGCAGTTTTGTAAGCACCTGATCTCTGTGGCTTGTGGTGAGCAGGTTTCCTCCAAAGTCTGTTCCAGATAGTTCTTTCCGTCTCTCTGGAACTTGTTGCTGTCTGTATGCTTACAGATTCTCCGGCCGAATCCTGTCGTGGAATTTTGGTGCAAGTTAAACGTGTACCAATCATACACCTGTCCAATGGTTTTGTTTGAGAAGATGTGAGAGAGAACACAAGTGTCACTTAACCTTTACTGCTCAACTTTGGAAGCTCCATTATCAGCTTATACTGCAGCTCTGTAACCACATATTTACATAAAAATACACAATGGAGAATGTTTAATTTATGATGATTGCAATATTGTTATATTTTTCTTATCTTTTTTTTAAAATTCTCATATTTATTATTACACATTATAAATTATTTTTAATTGTTACTCTTCATTATATTCATATTATTCTTATGTTATTCTTATTCTTATATTATCAATATTTAAAACAGCTAAGTACATTTTTTTTTCAGGATTCTTTGATGAATAGAGATCCAAAGATCAGCATTTATCTGAAATAAACAGTAATAAAAAAATCTTGAAACTGAAAATTCAAAACTGTTATTTCTTTCACGTTGTTGTAAGCAAAATACATTTACATTTGATTAAACAAATCTCCTTTCGACAGTCAGAAACAAAACACCAAAACGTTTGTCTGAGTAAAATGATCCTTTGCCACCCACAGAGGTTACAAACGCCATGCTTTCATTTTCCTCATTCAGCAACTCGACGTCACCAGGCAACCTGTACTACACTAGAGTATCAGCTCTGATATACACCCCATCCTCATTAAACCTCAAAATGCACACTCTCGTGTTGCTTCAAAACTGCAAGTCTTTCATTCACTGAAGAAGTGATGATTGCAGCCCGAGTCTCCATTCACTTTCATTGCAACTTTACTTACAGTGAAAGTGAATGAAGACTGACCCTGTCATTCCGCCTAACATTTCATATGTATTTCAAAAGAAATTCCTACAGGTCTTAACAGTGTGAGTACATGACAGAATTGGGTGAACTATGCTTTTAACTGATGCATTTAGGCAAGTAGAGAGAGATTATAACAGCAAAACAGGCAACATTATTGATCTAGTCCCATTTTCAGAGAATTACGTCAAATACAATAAGAACAATAAAGTTGGTTGAAAGTACACGGACAAATACTATCTATGAAGCACAAGAAAAATATAATTGTTGCACACTAGTTTACATATAATAGAAGCACACTTAGTTGTCTCATGAATGTATCGTTCATTAAAAGGCCCAAACATTATTTCTATAACATGTAAGGGAACGCAACATAAATTTTCCTTTATTTTCCCGTTTTAAAATATCTATTTCACCGTGTAATTTCTCCAGTTTCTTTGTGCTGTCTTTGTAAGAAGTCAATATTCCTCTGCAGCGAAGCTACGCGTGTATCCATTTCAAGCATTTATCTGAAATAAAAAGCTTTTGTAACATTATACACTATACCATTCAAAAGCTTGGAGTCAGTATAATTGTAGTCAGTATAAATGATAGAAATTAATACTTTTATTTAGCAAGGAAGCTTTAAATGGACCAAAAGTGATGATAAAGACATGTATAATGTTACAAAAGATTTCTATTTCAGATAAATGCTGTTCTTCTGAACTTTCTATTCATCAAAGAAACCTGAAAAAATTCTACTCAGCTGTTTTCAACATAAAAGTTTTTTGAGCAGCAATGTTGGTAATGATGCTAAAAATTCATCTTTGAAATCACAGGAATAAATTAATTTTAAAATATATTCAAATGGAAAACAAATATAATTCTATAATTTTTCTATTTTATTTATATAAAAGTAAAAGTATTTCACAATTTGACTGTTTTTACTGTACTTTGGATCAAAAAAATGCAGGTTTGGTGAGCAGAACTGTGAAACAAGTTCCCTCGATTCATTGCCACACTACATCACATACGTGCACTCACGAGGATGACGTATCACTACCACGTAGCGTCATAACTCGTGTTTTACCCAAAATCCTAAAAGTGCCTTTTCACGTTGTCATAGAAAGAGGTGATTTGTTTTCAAAGACTGTACATTCCTTTCTCTCCCACTGGAACTTTTA